AACTTCTCATGGGAAAAAAAAAGATCTTGCAAAGTTGGAATTGATTGATTGAACTTTTTAATCCCACCCAATCTGCCGTTACCACCACAGCCACGCCCAGCCAATGGGCCACGCCGAGCCAATGGGCCACACCCAGCCAATGGGCCACACCCACCCGGCACTCGACGATGCATAAGTGGGTTTTGGGTTGCAGTTTGGGCACTTAGTCTCTAAAAGGTTTGCCATCACAGCCATATAGCTTTGGGAGCAGAGAGTTCAGCAGAAGAAGGGGGGAGGAAGAAGAATGAAAAGCCACATGAGAGACATGGGAGAGAGTGAGAAAAGAAAATAAAAATAAAAAAGAGGCCAAGAAGTCAGTCTTTTAAGGGAAAAAAGAAGGGGGAGCAGAGAAGAGGAAGAACTGATACATTTTTTTTTGCAGTTTCCTAGTTCTTTGATATTGATAATACTGGTAAATAGATAAAGAAGGTGGGCCCCCTATCAAAAGCTGCTTGGTTAGTAATGGAGCAGCTTTTGGTTAGCAAACCTCCTGAAGCCCAGACCGCTTAGAGTTGGAATTTTACTGGTTCATACAATATGCATTTGTATCCCACTCTGATACCAGCTTATCAACCAAAGCTGGCTGGTTGCTATCTGGTCTGTAAAGCCCAAACAGTAGAAGCTGTCCTAGGGAATCAGAAGGCTCTGCTTCAAAGATCTAAGGAAATTACATGCTAGAAGATTTAATTCATTTCCTGGAAAGCTTGGTAATTTCCTTGAGGCTATAACTGCAAGTCCTGCTCAGGGCAGGAGTATGATAGGTCTTCCCTGCTTCAGGTCCATTCTATAAATGAGACCTGAACTCAGGTAGGTCAATGATGTTTCTGTATAGGACAAGCAAAGGCTTTCAGAGAGAAGCAATGTTCAATCAACTTCCTCACATCCATAGTTTCTCAATGATCAGTGATGAGCAAAGCGTTTGACTTCATGCTTCCCACAAGGATAAATCATACTGTAATTCCCAAATGTTGCTCTTTGTCTGGCTGCCAACCAGAATTCTGCCAAACACATACTCTGGCATAGATAATAAACTTGATCCTCTGCAGTTTTTGCATTCTTGCTATCTTTTTTATTCTATAGGGAATGGAAGCATTCTTCCAATCATCCAGCACAGATACTGTCTTCATACACGCGTTGAACAAGTTGCATGACCATTCTATAGTTGGCTGTGGAATGGCCTGCAACTCATCCATATTTTAATATTGCTCCAGCTACTCTGTCTACACTTTCAGCCTTAGCATGTTTCAACATTGTCACAGGATTTATCTGCCCAAAATCTTAAGAAATGGCACGATAGAAATAAAGTTGTTGTTGTTATTGTCATTATTATTATTATTATTTGAGGGGAGGAGGCTAACATTTGTAGCATTTGTTTCAATTTTACTACTTATCACAGGGGTCCTCAAACTTGGCCCTTTTATGACTTGTGGACTTCAACTCCCAGAATTCTTCAGCCAACACAAGTCATAAAAGGGCCAAGTTTGAAGATCCCTGCCTTATCATGTCACTATCATTCAATTACAAAATGTTCCCTCTTAGGTTTCCTGATTTTTATTTCCATTTTTCTAAAGATGCATTATTTTAAAAAAATGGTCTATCTTCACATGTAGTACCACTCCTATATCATTCACTAATTTTGGTGTTCTTCTATCATAAACAATCAAATCAAACATGCTTTTTATTCTTTATTTACTGTTTATATGCATTCAAAACAAAGAGACCATTTTTGAGCTGATATCCACCAGTCACCATTCTTCTTCCCTCTTGTATCATGTCTCTCTTTCCCCATTCCTACTCAGTTCTTCATGTCACCTAATGGAGCAGTTTTTCCCTGGGATCTCATTAATTCAAAATGTGGCATCATTTTTCCCAAACCTTATTAACACTCACTGGAGTGTAACACACAACAATCATCAAACTATGGTTTCTTACTTTCATATACACTTGCAACAACCTTGATGATAATGGCATACACTTTCTGACATACACTTTTAGCCTTTTTATTCATAATGAAACCCACATTTCCTCACATGCTTTCATCAGCTCCACTCCATAAGATCGGAGTTTTACATTTCTCAAATACTAGGATGCCGTCCTTAGGTAGAGATTTTCTTATCAAGGTGGACAGTTTTGACTGAATTATCTTGCCTCTCAGCTTTAATGTAGCAGTAGTTATTTATGTAGTGTGAGCTAAAAATATTCTTGAGGGTTTTTTTTTTAAAAAAATCCATCTACTTTTCATTTAGCTTAGTTTACCTCTTAAATACTAAAGTCAAGATTTCTCTGGAAGGAAACATTTAAGAAAAGCCTCTTTCGTAAAGCACAGATAATATTTTAAATGTAACAACAGCCTTTTCAGAAGAGAGGATAATAAATGCATAAGGAAAAGCATGGGTTTTTTTTCTAAAAAAAATGAGCTTGTATTTCAGCAGCAGCCCATTTTCACCTCATCACCATCCCCATTTTTAAACTAAAGGGAAGAGAAACTAAACTAAATTTCTGTAAGCAAACTCTGAAAGCAATGAAATGAAGCATTTAGAAGAGGAAAGCTGCTTAATTACTTCCCTCCCCGGTTCCTAGTTTGGCATTTCAAATGCATGGGTACTAGAAGGATGTTGCTGAGTTGAAAGATATGCCTGGAATCTGAGACAAATTGAAGAGATTGTGCAATTTTTCAGAAGCTTACTTTAGCAGACTTACTCCTGGATACTATCTGCTGCTAATTGTTTCTATAGTCTCTAATAGAAAAAAATAGTAATAGAAACTCCAAAGCAGACTCCTTCTGCCTTTATTTGTCATAGCGTTGTTGAGAAAACCTATAGGGACAGCAGACAGAAAAAAAGAAATGGATTCTTTGCGCCTCCCTTTTATTACAAAAATCTAAGCCTGCATTAGGTGCAGCATAAGTCCTTCTCAGAGGAGGAATCAGAACAACTAAAAGTAACAAAAGAAGATATTTTAGAACAGTGATTCCCAATCAAAGCAATTTCCAGATGTGTGTACTTCAAGTTCCATAGTTCCCAGTAACTACATGTTAGCTGGGGACCCTGGGAATTCATTTCCACACATTTGGAAGTTGCCAAGCTTGGGAAATATTATTCTATGACATCTTGAGAAACTATGAAACAAATTATAGAGTCCTGGTGGCATACATTCAAGAATATTTAAACAAACGGAAATGTGAAATTGCATTTCCCCTAGCAAAAAGTTTATCTCACAAATAAGGCTCAGTGCTAGAAGGTAAATAGTCAATAAGACCCCAATTCTTAAAAGAGACCTAAGGGAATCTGAGAAATTCAGTTTAATTTATAATATGGATAAATTGGTAGAAACAATAATCAAACAAAAACTAAGCATACAAACTTGCTGAAGGAAAATCTGCATGAATTCGATGAAAATAAGATTTCCCTTATCAATCTTCTGGGAGGGATAGTTAGGAGATTAATTAGGGATAGAGATTTTTCTCAATGGAAAAAGGAACTTAGTCAGGACTAGTGCTTTTTTACTTCTTAATTTGTTCTTTTTCCATTTATTAATAAATTATCTTGATCTAGTAGTAAGTAGAAAGTAGGCTATATTTGCAGATGATACCAGATCATTCACATGGTAAAAATCATTGTGAAGAATTCTGAACAGAACAGAGCAGAACAGAATAGAGTAGCTTTATTTGGCCAAGTGTGATTAGATACACAAGAAATGTACATACAAACAACAAAGTAACATCATAATAATGATAATAAGAGGAGGTAGTAGAACAGATGAGAAGGATAATGGTAAATGGTCAACTGAATGTATTTCTTAAGCTTCTGATGGATAGATTTGTGGAGGTGCCAATCCAATGTGCCACAGCTATGAAAAATACAAATGCTAGAGATCAATATGAAAGGGATTGAAAATAAAATTGCAAATATTGCAATGCCTTTACTGAAATTTTTGGAATGACCACATGTAGAAAATTATTGCATGTGTCACCCCATATGAGAAGAAATAATACCACCCCAGAAGTATAGAAAAGTGATCAGAGGGTTTGAATTATTGTTTTATGAGAAAAGTCTAGAACATTTTGTATCTAAATGAGCAAAAAGGCAACTAACTTGATCAAGATTTGTAAAATCATGCACAGCATGGAGAAAGTAGATATTGATATACATAGGGTAAGATACGATAGTAAAAATGGTGGTAGAATAGTGCAAATATTGCAGTAATATCTGACAATGACTTTGCTATCTACAGATGATCTTCTGCTTTTTCTCTTTTGAAAGAGACACCTTGAAACCACCATTTAAGGATACCCATAATGTTGATGTTGGTGTTACAGTTTCATTGTTAGAACAGTGGTGTCAATGAAGGCATCAGAACAGGAAAGATAGCAAACTCCACCCTTTAGTACATGTGTCAATGTTATCCACATGCAATATATAAAGAAACAGGTCTTCATTAAGAGGCTGGGTTGCCATCTTGCTTGTTTTGATGCCCTCTGCAGATGCCACTGGGTCAGGAATTTTATCATGGATTGATCTTAAGTCCTACAGCTGCTGAACACTGATTCAAGGAGACATTTTAGCCATATATTTAATATTCATATCCAGTTTGGATTTAATAATCCTAGATTTAATAAACCTTCTGTATTCACTTAAAACATCATTACAAAAACAGTAACAGTACAATTTTACAAAGTTATTAGTTGAATATGGGTTGAATATCATTCATAAATTGAATATTTTCTTTTAACTGATTTAAAAAAAAATCTGGTGCCCCAGGAATATAGCTTTCTCTATTTAGCATGATTGTGTCACGGGGGAGGGATTAGTATAAACCCACTATAGAATATCAATAACAATTCTTTTCAAGAAGATATAATTGGATCCTCACACAGAGCATTTACAATATCTGTAACTCAGATATATGGTCATTATTGTTCTGGGTATATGTAATTCCATTACTCAAAAATACCTTTTTTTTCCCTCTTCTTTTCTACAGCTTTAAGAAGTCAGAACATAATTGAGAAGAATTGTCTATATATCCTTTCTGTTTCTGGACACCTTTTTAACACATCACTGCTGAAAACCTTTAAGCACTGAAGATCGGCAGACATAAATTTTGCCTTGAATATTCGTGGTCAAAACTAGATGTACCAGATCTTTTGGATGAGCAAAAGGATAAAAAGGTTAGTTAGTTACTTTGAAAGCCTACAATTTCAATATTTTGTATTTCTGCTTATAATTTGCCTATGCTTTCATGTACTGTATGCTTTAATATTTTCTGAGTGACAGAAAGGAAAACTTAGCAGAATTTGTTTTTCTTATTCTGGAATATTTGTGGAGGTGCATTTCCTACTGTAAATGCATCAGTAATTTATTTTTATTTGATCTGCTTCGTTCATATCCTAAGATTGAGCATATTTTATAGGGAATTCTGGTCCAAACCTAGGAAAAAATAGCTAATGCTTATACTTAATGTGAGCATTTGATAATAGATGAGGAATTGCAGTATTTTTAGTTGGAAATTAATTACTGAAGGAAAAAAATGGACGGAGTATCAACAGTCAGTGATTGGATCTCCCAGTACTTTTTTGAGTATGCATGTAGAAAAATATTTTGGGATCTGGCATTTAGTATAAAGGGTTAACTTTTTCCATATTCCATCTTATTTCCATGATAAATATTTCACCCTATAAAATTGATATTAAACATAGGAAGGAAAGAAATTGCTGATTGATTACACGGTAGATCACCATGGCTATTGCTACTTCTATCTAGAGAAAGAAGCTCCATATCAGAAACATATTTTACTTCTTATCCATCCATCTTTTGCTATTCTCTTGACATAATACTCAAGTACAAGAGATTCAACCCAACCTTTGTTTTTTTACATCATAAATAATTTAACCCTGATACATTTATTTACATATTTAATATATATTTATAATACAATTCCTTCCCTCTCCTTTTTTATGTACACACGTCCTTGGGCTTTAATAAGTGGAAACTCAAAGCAAGTGTAATCATGCTGGATCTGCTCCTGTTTAAAATATTGTATAATTCTTACAAAAGGAAATTGGATTATCAGGATCAGCAGAGGTAAAGTAGCAAATAGAAGGAAAGGCAGTAAATGAAAAAATGGAGGTTTCATAATGAAATATAATCTCCTAGACTAGGTGCCCAGGAAAGCAGTGGTGTGGTAGCAGAGCCATTCTTTAGTCTATACGTAGTCATTTATTGGTCCCTGTACAAACAATTTTATCTCTTGAAATATTTTCTTATGTTACAAGATATGCACATTGTGCAGGAGCTATTTATACATTTTGCATACTGCTTTGTTTTATTTAAATTGTGGGGGGAAAACCCAAAAAGAAAAAAAAGAACTGAAAACTGATGATACACTAACACACTTAGGCAAACAAGAACAATGAACATATGTTGATATAGTTAATAAAAAGGTTGGCCTTCCCTCTGAAGGACAGAGGGAAGATCTGCTATCAAAGCTATGATCAAATAAATCAGGGGTCTTCAAACTTGACCCTTTTATGACTTGTGGGCTTCAACTCCCAGAATTCCTCAGCCAGGCATGAGGAATTTTCAGGTAAATGAAATGTAGGTCTGCACACTTCATACTCTAGTCTACAATGGAGGGCTGATAGATGATCTCTGATTTATTTCAGAGCTTAATTCTTGCATTCTGATCACTTGGGTGTTAGAACATATTCAGTCTACACTTTCTATAGTCAGGATCATCTGATTCAGCACTGCAGGAACTGTGCTCACTTTTTCTAAAGTTACTTTGACTGTTTCTCTAAAAGAAGATTTTGAGAAACAAAAGCAAGCTTAGAGGGGTGTTTTCTGATTATTTTCCCACTTTTGTGCGTGTATGAAGCACAGTGGCTTCCCATGCACGCATCTGCAGGAACAGCTGAGAGCAGCTCACAAAAGCAGCTGGAAAAAGATGTGACTGCTTTATTGATTGAAAAGATAAGTACTTCATATGCACTCTGGAGCTTTGCATAGACATTCTTTAAAAGGATTTGCACAATTTTGAGAACAGTAGATAATGCCTCTTCTATTAAATGTTGTCCAAAGCATTTGCTAACGGGTGAAGTGGACGTAAGAAAAACTCAGCTCTCTTAATAAATACTATTTTTATTTCTTTTTAAAGTAGAGTTGAAGAAAGCACATCCTTAATTTAGTTTTTAATTTGGTTGTGTGAACATCTCAGGTATGTTGGAAAGGCTTGACCCTGAACGGGAGTCAATTGAATTGAGAGTTGAGAGTAAGTTCCATTATTGAATTGGCACCTGTAGGATTACTAAGCACACATTTATTATCAGTCATTGAACTACTTCTGCTGAAAAAGCACTGTGTATGAATGGTCTGCAAGATCTGATAGTAGGGTTTGAACCTGCAGTCAAACATAAACAGTTTAATCTACTGGTTATACATAATTCTAGTTGTATCTCTTCTACTATATAAATCACTACTACTGTTTATAGTTCATGAGCAATGAAAACTTCATCTCTGCTTTTTAAGGATACTATTAATTTTTATAAGAAAGAGAGCGGACAATGTGGGATACTGTAGACATTAGAAGCTAAACAAAGACTAGGAAATCTTTTGTTGGAAAGTCTCCTGAATTGAACATGTGTGGCCTTTCTTTTGTAGTGTTCTGTTTGTTTGGGGAGGAGTCCTGCTAGAAGTGCACTTTGAAAACATCAGGTGTGAAATAACAATCGGAGAATCATTTCTTTTAAAAAAAAATTTATACATGTCTGTAAGGTTGGACTAATTAATAAAGCAGAACTCAAGTTAATCATGATCTCCACTTTTGTTGCAAATGACACCACAAATATCCCTGAGCACTGAGTACAGGTAGTCCTTGACTTACAACAGTTCACTTAGTGACTGTTCAAAGTTACAACAGCACTGAAAAAAATGACTGATGACCATTTTTCACACTTATGACCATTGTGGCATCACCATGGTCCCATGATCAAATTTCAGATGCTTGGTAACTGACTCATATTTATGACAGTTGCAATGTTCTGGGTTCATGTGATTACCATTTGTGACCTAACAAGCAAAGGCAATGGGAAAGCCAGATTCACTTAACAACCATGTTACTAATTTAACAACTGATTCACTCAACAACCGTGGCAAGAAAGGTCGTAAAATAGAGCAATAGCACTTAGACTTATATACGGCTTTACAGTGCTTTACAGCCCTCTCTAAGTGGTTTACAGAGTCAGCATTTTGCCCCCAACAATCTGGGTCCTCATTTTACCGACTTCGGATGAAGGCTGAGTCAGTCTTCAGTCAGTGGGAATCAAACTGCAGAACTGCAGGCAGCTGGCAGGCAGCAGAAATAGCCTGCAGTACTGCATTCTAACCACTGCACCACCATGGCAAAACTCACTTAACAAAGGTCTCACTTAGCAACAGAAATTTTGGGCTCAGTTGTGGTCATAAGTAGGGTTACCTGTATTATATAAGACTCATGGAAGAAATCACTTGATAATACTATGAAACATAGCATTACAGCTGAGGTATATGGAGATACATGTTTAAATCATGTTATCTGAAACACATGTTTACTAGCTGTACCACATTATACATAAATCTGCACAATGATTGCAAGAACCCTTTATATGTATAGTGGTATACACATGCACACACACTCACACACATTTTCTTAAATATATATATATTTAAGTTATATATATAATTTCCCTGGCATATGTAACTCTGGAATTACATATGCCAGGGAAGAACTTCCAGATTTTGTAGAGGTATATGTATGTATAAAACAATATGAATCACTGTATAATATAATGTCAGATGTAGAGTAGACTAGAGTATAACAGAAAAGAACAGAACAGAACAGAATAGGACTTAATCCCAAACTATAATTTATTGAGAACAAATTTCAATAGGCCCTTTGTTCACACATTAAACCCTCTCTTCTGTTATGGCTACTGTGAGGAAATTAAAATATTTGGTATGCATTTTAATTATTATTTTGCTATGTCCATCAGCTAAATATGCTATGATAAATAATCCATGGTTGGGAGTTCACTTGGCCTACTTAAGTTTAGTTTTTTTCTGACATCTAAACTTTCCTTTACATTGTCCTGTAGCAAGATATCCTTTAAAATATGATAAGCCACCTAAGAAGACAGTGCATGCACAATGAGAATTCTGCACATTTTTAATATTTTTTTATAATGTGAAAAGAGTAATACATGAGTACATTATTAATAAAAGACAGAAATCAAGATGCTTTCATGTTCAGTTCAAATCTTCCTGTTTACATGGACACAATCATATAGCTTTCATGGACGTAATCATGTAGCTTTCTTGGCAGAGTTATAGACATATCCTAAGGCTTTAAGGTAGCACAGAAGTCAAAACTCACATCCCCAAGAAAGCAGTATCAGATTATATCTGTAATTCTTCCAAGAAAGCTACATAATCATAGGGTAATCAATTATACAGACATAATTTGATACTGCTTTCTCTTTACCTTATCTTATAGCCTTGGGATTACATAGTGATCTCTTATTCAAAGGCTAATCAGGAACAACCCCATCTGCATTGTGTCTTGTATAGAAAAGATATCTGAATACTTGCTTCTACAGATCTGCAATGAATTCAATAGCCAACATATATTCTTTGGTTTAAAAAAAGCATTACAACGATTTACTGGATAACAGCCACTTCAAAAATCCTCAAAATTGTAGTGTGTAAAACAGAATACCTCGACAAGTATAGAGGTTTTTATCAAATAAAATAAAGTTTATTTAGCAGCACTGGGCACAGAAATAAAACTAATTATACAAGTGAATAGAAAAGTGATTTTGGTCATGTAAAGTCTGTGATGTATGTGTGACAGAGGAAACCCATCATTGATCTCAAAGGACCATCTTTGAATGAAGAAATTAGAAATCCTGGATTAACTAGGTTAAATTGGAATTGATTAGGAGATTAACTACGGTGGAGACCCACACCAACACTGACACATTCCTATTTGTTTTGTCAACAGTGATGCTGCATTCTTTTCCTATTGCTCGAAATGCTTAAAAATGTTTTTCTTCTAATTGCAATAGCTAATTTTTACACTAATTTTATTAAATTTACAATTAAAAGGTAAAAAAATAATACAAATTTTAAAAATAAA